TCTTAACCAACTGAGCCACTCAGCTGGCCCTGAAGTGTTCTTTTTCTCCTTTCTGCCTGCCTCAATTAAGTCTCCCGATGCCACCTCCTCCAGGAAGCCTTCCCAGATTCCCTAGCCTTTGCTCTCTGGCCAGAGTTCTCTTGCTCCACTTGTGATCCCATGGCATTTGGTTCCAGATGCTACGAGTAGTTCATTTTAACAGACGTGCGTTGATTCACCCACCAGTCCCTGCCCTCAGAGAGCTTAGAGTTCTCTGAGGCAGACAGATGTTGCTGTACTACCTCCACCCCTGCCAAATGGACTAAAGTCATGGTGCTGGTAAGTGTGGGAGATGTGTGAGTCCTCAGGGGAGGGGTCCCTTCCTAATCCAGGAAGGCTTCCTGGGAGAGGATGCAGCCATTCTGTGCTCATAACCAAATGGATTGTTAGCACCTGGTTTGTGACCCAGCTCACAGTGGGTGCTTTGGTTGTGCTTAATTAACATTCCAATTGAATATGCAGCTGCAGTTCCCACATCGGACAACTTCCTGTTACCTACATAGAGAAAACCTAGCAGGGAAGAAAAATCTGGAAAACTGGATGGATCCCATGGTCCCTGCAGGCAGGGCCTGTGGGCAGTTCTGCTCTGTTCAGCCTATGATATTTCAGTGGACTCCAAGCTAGAAATGAAAAGAGAGAATCTGGGACCACAGTGAGATGGGGCTCATCAGGAAATTTGGTCCCAAGAGAAAGGTGGGTGTACTGTACTAGAAAAAGCAGACAGAAGGTCTCAAAATGCCCATCAGGATGTGATAAATCACTCTATCAGGCTATAGCCCAAGACACATACTGAAAAGGATGACTTTGGTCATCAAGAAAAATATCAAAAGCCGAATTTGTCAATCCTGGCTGTGCATTAGATCCATCTGGGGGAGCTTTAAAAACATTGATGCCTTAGCCCCCCTCCCCCAAGCTGATTAATCAGAATCTCTGGAGGTGGGGCCTGGAATCCCCAGGTGACTCTGATGCCAGGGGTGGAGTGCCACTGCCTTAAAGTATCACGCCACATTCCCCGGGGAAGAAGGCAGGGCAGTGTGAAAGCTGATATGGGAACACGTCTCAACAGAGATGGTTAAACTAAGGCGAGTTGTGTACTTAAAAGGTCAACTTCAGTTATCCAAGTTTAGTTTTGCAGACCAGCTCACAGAAAAGGGCTGCAGAGAGCAGAGGACGGAACACAAGCTTTGGTGACAGTCAGATTCCCACACCACTTAGTGGGTGCATGACCTTGGGAAGCTACTGAACAACTCAGAACCTCATCTTAAAATGGGACAATTGTAGTGCCAGTCCCAAAGGGTTGCTTTGCAAATTAGTTAAAATGAAGTAGGAAAAGTGCCCAGTGTTCAACAAATATCAACTCCCATCCCTCTGACTCAGAAGGTTCCAGACACATGAGGCAACATTGTGCAAGAGAGGGTCCTTAATGCCCCTTAATACTCTTACACATCAACACTGTTTTCAGAGGAAAATATCCAACTCATAGGTAAGTCATTCCTGGGTGAACACTGCATAGACTGACTCAGGGGAAAGCTGATTATGTTTCTAGGAAGAGCTGAGATCCTGGAAACAGCAGGGAGTTTCAACAACCCTGGGTCCTTTCATTTCACAACCACCCAGAGAGGCTCATCTCAATTCCTCTTGCTTCGACCTTCCCGCCTTCATCAGACAGTTAGCTAGTGGGTGCACCTCTTTGCTGGGCCCTGAGATGGGCGTTGGGAGGGGATCTCCACCCTCACCAAGCTCCTTGTTGCGCAGGAAAGCCTGGCATGGCTACCGGCACCCACCAGACACAGCAGATAAGCCTTGTGAGGCTGTGGGGGAGAGGAGCCAGGCATTCAGAGGAAAGAGTTGCCCAAGGGCGCCAATGGGTTACTGCGACTCTCTCCATCTCTTCCTAAAATCACAGCTCTTCACCGTCGGCGCAAGTGCTGCTCCAGCCTGAACTGGCCACCCTTCAGTTTTCCCATCTGTAAAACGGGAGTAGGGGGCCAGAGAAAAGTTAATTCAATGATTCCCTAAGGCCCTCGCTTTGGAGCATGTTGGGAAATGAGTCCTATGGCCTACATTCACGTTTTAATTAAAGATTACAGCAAGCTCTGTTTGGAAAATTTCACAACTGGACTTGGATCCATCTGGCTATCCCTTCATGGTGAGGGGGGGGGGAAGGGGGGTGTTACAAGTGAGACAATGAAAGACGAGGGCATGTGATAAAAGGAGAACTTCCTTCCTTCCCAATCTTCTTTCTCATCTCTGTCCCACCTCAGTCCAATGCAAAGCTGTCTGGCAGGGTGAGCCCCGGACTCATCTGGGAGCTTGGCCAAGGCTGGGAGAGTGTCACCCAGCTTCTGGGCACATTTGAGAGCAGCTTTGTGGCAGGAGCTGATGATCTCCATGATAAATGAGTCCCTAAAGGAATCCTTACATCATGAAGTTGAGTGTTTGCGGTTAGTCTTGAGAGGAGGGAGAGAGGAGAGATGGCGGTTGGCAAGGGCTGCACGACGACGCATCCAGCAACCCTCTCACCAGCCTCCCTTCCTCCTGTCTGGCTCCTTCTCTTCTTCCCACCAACATTTGCTGTGCTCCTACTGTGTGCAGGCTCCTGTGCTGGCTCAGAGGCCACAGGGATGAAGCCAGCACAGTCTGTGCTCCCAAGGCAAGAAGACCAACCTACTGTGTTCAGTAAGGAAGGGTACTGAACCCAGTGTCATCAGTACTGCAACAGAGGGAAACCCAGGAGGCTGTAGGGGCACAGGCACAACTCCAACCTGACCTGGTGGGGCGGGGATGACAGGCAAGGTGTTCTACAGGAAGGCTTGCAAGACAAGTCCACCAGGCAGCAGAGAGAGCTCCTGGCAGAAGGAACAGCAAGAACAAAGGTCTAGGGAATCAGAGGGAAGCCCAGGAAAGCTTTTGGGCTGGAGCATTGGTGCAGGGGCGGGGAGGCAATGGGCAGTGGAGACAGCCAGGGGAGTCAGCAGGAGATAGAGGATAAATGACCTTGAATCTCAGCGAGGGAGCTCAGACTTTATTCTGAGGCCCCAGGGAGCAGGGCAGGATTTTCTCAGGGAAGAAGGCTGGGGTTGAAGTGGCTGGAACCAGGAGCAGGGGTGTGCGTGGGAGGATTCCCTGACTGCTCAATATTGCTTTTATTCACTCCCTGAAAGAGCACTTCTTGAGGGCCTGCTCATCCCTCTCCACAGTATCAAGCGGGCCAGCCCCTCCACACAGCTCAAGCTCGGGAGAAAATGTATGGAAAGAGAAGAGCGAGGCTGCACTTGACAAAGCCTTCTTTGTGGCCAGCCCTGGAGCCATAATGGCGCAGTGCTCTGCTGCCCTCTACCTACACCTGGAGATACACCCCTGCAGGGTCCAGCCGGCTTCTAAGAGGCTCTGAGTTTCGCCACATGCCTTCCCTCCCTCCCTCCCTCAACGACGGGGGTCCCGCTATTCCTGATGAAAAGGTGCAGTTTGGGATAGAGGACAGGCTCAGAACCTCCAGTGATGTACGCATTTTGACCCAGCTTGGAAGCCTGGTGAAGCCTGGTGCAAAAGTCCCTACAAACAGCTCATCACACCCCGACGTGCCGTATCCCTCATCTCTGCACTATTCTCCAAAGCCCTCGGGTGCGGCTCATTTCAGTTCAGTTTGAGGTGGACAGCAAGCTGATTAAATCAACCCATGCTCAGATGTGAATGACTGACAGTCCTTAACCTTTTTAAGGACATTTAGGGAGCAACTTGTTCACTTACTGGGTTTACAACTGAAAAGGGAAGCCTGCCATAGCAAATGGCACTAGGATTTAGCGCTCATAGTTCTGGGTCTAAACCTCCCAGTTTCACCATTTACAGCTGCTTTCTCCTCAGACAGCCTCCCCTGCCTACTTCTGTTTTCTTGTATTTTTCATCTGAAAAACAGGAATAGTAATTCTTGTCCTATCAACCTCAAGGATTAAAAAAACATGTAATAGATTATGAAATTTCAGAGTTGAAAGGAATCTTGGAGATTATCTAGGGATTTTTATTTTGGCTTTTAGGTAATGTTGTACAATTTATGAATCACTTTCGATTACAGTTCTCCTCTGCTTACAATAATAAACCCATAGTAAGTTGAAAATATATTCAGTCTAAATGTAGAGCATCAGTTGTTTACCCTTGTGATGGCATGGCTGACTGAAAGCTGCGCTCACTGCCACTGCCCAGCATCACGAAAAATTATCTTACTGCATATCACTAGCCCGTGAGAAGATCAAAAGGCAAAATTCAAGTGCAGCTTCTACTGAATGCTTATTGCTTTTGCACTACCATAAAGTTGAAAAATCGTAAGTTGAATCATTGTAAGTCCAGGACAATCTATACACTGTCTCACTGAAATCTCAGCACAACTGTGTACAATCATTAATCTTTTTTTGCAAGAAGGAAACAGCTAAGAAAGGGGAAATGACCTGGCCAAGGCTCTCTGGGATGTTAGTGGCAGAGCCCAGGACAGTAACTCTTTGTTCTACCTAACTTTCCCTATAGATCCTGCTAGAAGACCCTAGAACCCTCACCTACCACCCTCACCTCCCTGTCCCTACAGGCCTCTGAACTCCTCCTAAAAGCCCCTGCACACTAAATAGCACTTACCTGTCTCTCCAGCAAAACTATGGGATTTCTCTGCCTGGTGCCCAGCATGGAGACTGGCACTGAATGGGTGCGTGCCACCCCCCCCCCCCAGCACATCTACATATCTCTGGTTCTCTCTTAACCAGACCAGGAGAGGGTTGAACAACAGTCCTGGCCTTGGATCAGCCTTGGCATTGGACAAGCAGGTGATCTAATGTTTAACCAAAAGCTTCAACACAAGAATTCAATCCAGCTAGGTCTTCCTAGAGCTAAGACACCCCCCCCCCCTCGCCCTGGGCTGCAAAGTAACTGGAGCTGCTAGGGACAGGGAAAGGGAGGAGAGGGAGGGAGACTACAAAACTGGAGGAGTATATGGATAGAATAGGAAGAGCTGTGTGGCCTTGGCTGAGTCCTTCCCATCCTTGCCTCGGTATTCCTATCTGTGTACAGAAGAGTCTGGTCTGGGTGGTCCCTCCTGATGGGACTGGGCAAGAGCAAGGGATCCTCAGAATCCAGAAACCCCTCGCTAGGGGTTCCCTAGTTTGGGAGAGACTTCCTCCATCATAGAGGTGGGGGTGGGTAAATCTTTAACTACCTGGCCCTGGGCAGGCCAGAGCCTTTCCGGATGGATGGCTGCCTGGGAAGGGGGGATGGGTGTGGGGGATGTAAGTTGTGTAAAGCTAGTCCCAGTGTGGTGAAGGGAGGGTAGTGGGGAGGAAAAGGAACGAAACTCAGGCGGAGCTAACTCCGTGTGCAAAGCAGGGCATGGAGGAACGCGGGTCCCCCGATGGGTAAGCAGAGATTCTGGGAGGTTCGAGGAGCCGCTGGGCCCCGGGATGGTTTAACTCACCTTGCTGCCCACAGGGACCCTGAGTGGAGCCTGGAGCAGGGGCCAGAGGGGCCGGAAACACCCATCCAGGTGGTGCTCAGGTGGGTATAGGTTGGTTAAGAGGTGCCTGAGAGAGGAAGGGAAGGGACCGATGGAGAGACATCGGGATGGGACATCCACCCTACCGTCGGGCCCCAGGGTGCGTCCCATGAGCGCTGCAGAGCTACGTCGAGGGGAGCAGAGCGCGCTGCACTGCTCAGGTTCCAGGACTCTGCAGGTGAGAAACCCCTACCCCAATAAAAAAAAAAAAAAACCTACCGGAAAGATGTGTAGAGGCCTCGTCCTTCCCCCCAGGCAACTTTGCCCAGGCCCCGCTCTCCCAAGGCCTCGCCCCCCTTCTCCACCGCCCCCTCCCCCAGGTGAGCCCCCCGGGCGGGGGCCCAGATGTGGTGTTCCGCTTCCGCGCGGTGCTGGACGGGGCGTGCACGCAGGAGGACGTGTTCCGGGCTTGCGGTGTGCGGAGTCTTGGGGAGCTGGCGCTGCGCGGGTGAGTGAGGCCCTGGGGATGCCCTGCATCCGCTCGCTGCCCTGACCCCACCGCGGACCCCCGCCCTCCGCTTGGGCCCAGCCACGCCCCTGCTGCCCGCAGCTTCCCCTGCACCGTCTTCACCTTCGGCCAGACCGGATCCGGGAAGACCTACACCTTGACCGGGCCGCCTCCCCAGGTGGGCCGAGCGCAATCGGAGCCCTGGTGGGTCAGGGGTTGGTGGACTGGAAGCTCTGGGGAGCTGTTGGCTGCGCAGGCTTCCAGAGGTTAGGGCCTTGGACAGTGCAACCCAACCCCACGTATTTGCAGACAAGGAAACTGAGGCCCATAGAGGTAAAGCTACTTGCCCTGTATGGAGTTCATATTTTGTCTCCTTTACTTACTAGCACTCAGTTTCTTCATCTATAAAATGGAAGCGATAGTCCTGCTTGTGAGAACTAAATGAGATGTTATATGAGAACTTCGTGCAGTTCCTAGGGCAGTACGTAAGGGCTCTACAAAGGGTAGTTATTACTGCGGTGGTGAGCCCCAGGCTCAACTGTTTCTGCCTCCAGGGAGACGGGGTGCCTGTACCCCCCAGCCTGGGTGGCATCATGCAGAGGACCTTCGCCTGGCTGCTAGACCGTGTGCAGCACCTGGGTGCCCCTGTCACCCTCCATGCTTCCTATCTGGAGATCTACAATGAGCAGGTGGGGGACAGAGATGACTAGAAAGACAGCCGACAGTTGAAATGAGGCATTTCTTTCTAAGGAGCCTGGGTCAAGGGGCAGAACGGGGTGGGGGTGGGGGGGTGGGGGGGGACTGTTGTCAGTGAGGTCTGAGGGTGGATGGAACATGGATTCAGCACTCCTTCCCTCACCCTCCACCCACACCACCCAGGTTCGAGACTTGCTGAGCCTGGGGTCTCCCCGGCGTCTGCCTGTTCGCTGGAACAAGACCCGGGGCTTCTATGTGGAGCAGCTGCGGGTGGTGGAGTTTGGGAGTCTGGGAGCTCTGATGGAACTTCTGCAAATGGGTGCGTGCTATTTCAGGGGAAGCTTTGGGGTACAGGGGAAGCCCATCCCTCTACTGTTCACTGAGTGCACTCGAGGCCCCTGGCTGGGGCTGTGGATTCAGAGATGACCCTTGTGGGAGCAAAGAGCCAGCAAACCAATAATTCAGACACAGCCCAAGGACGGCCCCCATCCCACCCCCAGGCCTGCTGACTGTGCCTGCCAAACTCTCTCTGGGCCCACCCTCTCTCCAGCCCAGGGCCTCTGCCTCAGTCAGGCCTCTGGTTTGCTCCCCAGATAGGTCTTTCCGCCTCAAGGCTCTCCGGCTCCCATCCACGTTCCATGCAGCAAACCACATCCCTCTTCCTCTCCAGCCCACTTCCAGTGTCCTGAGGGCAAAGGTCATACCTCTTAGCCAGCCTATAGGCCCCTTCTGTTCCAGTCTCATTCATTCATTCATCAAATATTTATTGAACGTCCACCCTGTGGCAGGCACTGGGGTCACTGAGACTCAGGGTTCCTGCCCCAGCGTTGAGCCACATCTCCCAGCTGATCTTTCTGCTTCCCCTCCCTCCTTCTACATAGCGATAGGAGGGATGTACATCAGATGGGAATTTGACATTCTTCTGCTCAGTTCTTTCCATCGCCCTCTCACCGGTCTGTCCTAGTGCCATACCACACATCCCATCATTCCCCTTTCCTGCTGCTGTACCTTTGCACGCGCTGGCCCCCCTACCAGGATGCCATTGCTCCTTTTCCTTTATTGGTGACTACATGCTCTTCCTATCAGGTCCAGTTCCTGATGCTTTTTCCCTCCAGGTCTTAGCCGTCGAAGGAGCTCTGCTCACACTCTGAACCAGGCCTCCAGCCGAAGCCATGCCCTGCTCACACTCTATATCAGCCGCCAAACTGTGAGTGCCCCAGCCTGGGGAAGGAACTGGCCCAGGGTCACCCAGCAAGGGTCTGCCTCTGGGTGTATAAACCAACTTGGGTGTGCACAGGCGGTCATCGTGGAAACCTTGGCTTTGTGACTTTGATGGGGACAGCCCCTCCCAAGTCCCCATCAAGCTCTGATCCCCTAATCCCAGCAGATGTCTCCTGTGGATCCCGGGAACCCTGTTGGTGGGAAGCTGTGCTTTGTAGACCTGGCGGGCAGTGAGAAGGTGGCAACCACAGGATCCCGTGGGGAGCTGATGCTTGAGGCCAACAGCATCAACCGCAGCCTGCTGGCCCTGGGTGAGACCTGGGAGCCAGGCCTGACGTTTTGAGCTCTTGCCTGACCCGCAGCTGTCCATGGAAGGAGCGGGAGAAGGGGAGTTGGGGGCGAGGGGGGGGGGAACCAGAGGGGTTGTAGGGCATGGAGGAGAATTAGGGAGCTGTGAGCCAAGAGCCACAGGCAGGCCTCCTTCTGTCCTCAGCTTGCTTTGTCTTGTGCCTCCCCTCTTAGAACTGTGTTGATGGCTTTACAAACCCTATAAACTTCATTCTATTAGAATGAAACTCATTCTAGTTTAGGAGGTAGACACATCCAAGTGCAGACTATGAGCCCTCAGATCTTCAGCTTGTCCCTTATGCAGATGGGAAGATGGAGGCCCAGTGAGGAGAAGGGACCTGACCTGTCTTCCCACTCCCACCCCAGGTCATTGGGGCTCCACTGTGGGTGCGTGGGGAGACACTCAGGAAGCTCCTCTGCATTCAGTCCATTTGTCAGATATTTTCTGAGCCTCTGCTGAGAGCCAGACCCTTTGTTGGGCATCAGGGGTCTGGCCTGGACAGGGCCACCTCTGCCCACAGGAGCCCCAGTCTGGTGGCAGAGGCCAATCTGAGTGGGGAACAAGATCACATGGAAAGAGGGATTTCAGAGCCACACTGGCCTAGGTGGAGATTTCTGCTCTGCATGAACCAGCTGCGTGTCCCTGGGCAAGGGGTGTAACCTTACTGGGCCTCACTCTCCCTACCCAGGTCACTGCATCTCCCTGCTGCTGGACCCACAGCGGAAGCAAAGCCACATTCCCTTTCGAGACAGCAAGCTCACCAAGTTGCTGGCGGACTCACTGGGGGGGCGTGGGGTCACCCTCATGGTACCTGAGGGCGGCTGGCAGGGAGGGCTGGGGCTTGAGGGAGGGGCTCCCAGAGAGAAACACTCAAGACATCCTCCCCAGGTGGCCTGCGTGTCCCCCTCAGCCCAGTGCCTTCCCGAGACTCTCAGTACCTTGCGATATGCCAGCCGAGCTCAGCGGGTCACGACTCGACCACAAGCCCCCAAGGTGAGAGGAAGACACAGGTAAAGGGATGGCAGGCAAGGGCAATGGTTGGGGATCAGGCAGTAGTTGGAGCCTGAGTTGGTGTCATAGTTAATGTCTGGGACTGAGTCAGAGTTAGGATTAGAGTTGGAATCCTGATGATGCGATCATGATTGGGTAGGGTGGGGTCAGGGTCAGGGTCATGGTCTGGGTTATGGCAGGTCCAAGGTCTAAGGTTGGAGTCTGATTTGGGATATGATTCAGGGGCTAGCCGGAATCCCACTTGGTATCATTATTAAGTCTGAGTTGAGTTGGGGTCTTGTTTGGAGTCAGAATCTGGACCAAGGTTTGAACAGGAGTTTGGGGTTGGACTTGGAGCAGGGTCCAGGCATGCAGCTAAGGCCATAGGCACTTCGATGCAATTAGGATAAAGTGTCCCCTCCAGGTGGATGTAGACTTGTGCTAGCATGCCAGGCTGGTGAGTGAAGCATGGGCTGGTTTTTAGGCTTCACTCACGCCCCACTGCCAGAAGCCCGTGTGCAGTGCACCACTTGCGCAACCATACATGGCAGCTCTGGGCCTCGTTCTCTGCAGTCCCCCATAGCAAAGCAGCCCCAGCGTTTGGAGACGAAGATATTGCAGCTCCAGGAGGAGAACCATCTCCTACGGTCCCAGCTGAGCCAAATGAACCTCAAGGGTATGAGCTCCCTGGGGGTTGGGTGGGAGGTGGAGAGGGTCTGGGGCTCCTGTGAATCTAGCCGCCTCCCTCTCCCCTGTAGTCTCTGGGTTCAGTGGGGCCCGGGTGGCCTGGGCCCAGCGGAACCTCTATGGAATGCTCCAGGAGTTTATGCTGGAGAATGAGAGGCTCAGGTAAGGCCCAGCCCCAGGCAGGGGACTCAGTGCCACCCCTTCCTGCTGAGCTGCATCTGCCAAGCTGCTCCCTCTCTGGTCTGTGGCTTCCTTCTTTCCCCACCTGCCTGCTGGGGCTTGTACAACACTGCAATGAGGGGCTGACTGATACGCCCATCAGCTCTTCCTGCTGTTACCTTTCTGGGGCCTGTTCTTCCCAGGAAAGAAAAGAGCCAGCTGCAGAGTAGCTGGGACCTGGCCCGGGATGAGCAGCGTGTCCTGGCCCAGCAGGTGCATGAGCTGGAGCGGTGAGCATGGCCACCCGCCCACAGACAGGCCTTGAGACAGAAGGCAGGTGGAAAAGGGGTGGCTTAATGAAATGGTTAAGAGTCTGACCTCTGGATCCAGACCACCTGGGTTCAAATTCCGGCTCTGCCACCTAGCTGTGTGATCTTGGGTGAGTCGTGTGACTTCTCACTGCCGGGGTTTCCTCATCAGTAAAATGAGGATACTATAACGCCCACCTTACAGCGTTGTTTTAAAGACTAGATTGCATGAGTTCATTTGTAAAGCATTGCCAGTGGTGCCTGGCATGTAGTCAGTGCTCCATTTGGTAAAAGGGGGGATCTGGGGGCCAGCCTGGCAGTAGGGTTGAGGGCCACAGGCACAGACCCCACTGCTCTTTCCAGGCGCCTCCTCTCTGCATGCTACCTTCACCAGCCAGGCCTTGACCCAGCCCCGCCATGTCCCTGTGTGATGGTGCCAGCTCCCTCCTGTCATGTGAGTCTCTACCCAGCCTGAAGCAGGGAGGAGCAAGGACAACAGGGAACTCCTGACGTGCCTTCTTGCAGGCGCTGCCACCCCTCTGCTCCTGCCCCTGCTGTCGCTTCTGCCCCCTGTGCCGAGCACCGCTGGCCCACTGGGCCTGCCCACGGAGGGAGCTCCAACTGCCCCAGGTAGGAAGGGCCAAAGTAGGGGTGAGGGAAGTCTGGGAGAGCTGGCGATCTTGATCTAGGGGATTAGTCCTGGGCATCAGAACTCCAGGGCCTCCAGGGTCCCAGGCTGGGTTATGGGGGCAAATGGTTGGCTTTGGGCTCCCTCGACTCAGGGTTCAGAATAGCTCTTTACCTTGCCTCCCCCTTCTCCCCATCCTGCCTTCTTTTAGGAACTCACTCTGCCATTCGCTTATTCATTCATTCACTTTCATATTACTCATTTATGCATTTTCTTATTCACGTGTTCACCCACGTTCACTGGCTCTCCCCTATGCATCTTGCTTGGTGCCAGCCCCTGCTCTGGGCACTGAGGATTCAGATACAGAGAGAGCAGACATGGTTCCTGCTCTCAGGGAGTTCCTAGTCTACAGAGAGGACATTACAAAGGCCACCTGCTGCCCACAGAAAGAGCAACCAAGACCCCTTCCCTTTATGGCCACCTGACATTCTTGGTGCCTCGTGAGGCAGGTGCGGCAGGGATGGCAGTGTCATGGTCAGCACCAGGGAAGTGGAGCAGAGAGGTAAGGCTGAGGTCACCCAGTGTGGGCTCTGGTCTTTCCTGCAGATGTTTGGTCCGAAGGCCCCAGATGGCATGCCCCTGTCTGCTCGGCCCCCACCCTGGGCACCCCCATGCAGCCCTGGCTCTGCCAAGTGCCCAAGAGAGAGGTGGGCCCGGCGCTGGGGCACTGGGGTGGGGGAGGAGGAGGCGTGGGACCCTGAAGCTCACCTCCCACCACACAACTCACCCCGGCCCAGGAGCCACAGCGACTGGACTCAGACCCGAGTCCTGGCGGAGATGCTGACTGAGGAGGAGGTGGTACCGTCTGCACCTCCACTGCCCATGGGGCCCCCGAACACGTCACCGGTGCTGAGAGGTGAAGAAGGGACAGTGGGAGGAGCCCCTAGTGTTGTCTGTGATCTTGAGCCAGAACCCACCATCTCCAGACCTCAGTCTCCCCATCTCTGAAATAGGGTGCATGCTGAGAGGTGATTTCTAAGACATTTCTGGTTTCCAAACTGGGAATTCTCTTCCTAGGGCCACCTGCATGCCCAGATGTATAACGGAACCCATAATGTATGGCAGGGGGGAAGGAAGTGGGTACCACCTGAGGCTTCCCCAGAGGATCTTGGGACCCTGATGGGCCTGGGTAGGGAGGGGCCCAGAGTAGTGCAGGCCTTGAGTCTCACTGTGCACCTTAGGTGGGGCCACAGTTCCAAACCTAGCCCGGAGACTGGAGGCCCTCAGAGACCAGATTGGCAGCTCCCTGCGACGTAGCCGGAACGTGCCACCCCGCAGCGAGGGCTCGCAAAGCCCCAGCCGAGTCCTTCCTCCATGCTGAGGGCAAAACAGAAACCCAGAAGACCACTGTGTGACCTCAGGCTGGGCTCTGCACTCCGGGGGTCCAGTCTCCTCATCTGTTAAATGGGGATAGCAGCTGCTGCTTCTCTGTAGCTGGGCCAGGCGAGGACAGTTCCTGAGGGCTAGTGGGTAGGGGCTAGAGGGCAATTTGGGGGAGAAAAGGAAGGGTGCCACTCCAGACTATGAGAAATGAGACCAATTGAGCAGGTGATGAACTATACATACCAATAAAGAGAGGCCTCAGCTGCAAGTCAGGTTAATCAGTCACTTCTCATAGTGACATCCCAGAGGGGAGGAGCTCTCAGGGGAGAAGAGGAGGCAAGGACACTTGGGTGTGTGTCCTCTTCTGATCAGGAATAGTCCAGGTTCCCATCTCCTTTCATATATTATACAAGTTTTAATTGAGCAACTACTATGTGCCACTGGGCAAGCATGGGGAAATCAAATGGTAAGCATCTCCAGGAAGAAGGCCTGGGACAAACTGATTTGGCCTTGAGCTGGGGCAGATGGTGGACCTAGGGGCTCCCTTCTGTGTGCCAGCTTCCTGTGCCCTGGCGCTAGAAGGATCATGAGGCCTGAGTCCTGGAACCACAGACCTGCTCTGAGACCTTGGGGAAGCCCTGCAGCCTCCCTGGATCACATAATGGTTTTCAGCCAGTTAGACAGGGGACAAGGCTCCCTGTCCTGTTGAGCTCCAGTGAGGATCAAAGAGGGGAGGAATCTCATGATTCTTGGTATAGTGCCCAGTAGGATGCTTTTGGTCTACAATTATGGGGAAGTTTGGATGTGACATGAGAAATTGGGGGTGCTCATTACAAGAGGCTAACGTAACTCTCCTATTTTATACTTAGGGAAACTGAGACCCAGATGGCTCATTCCTTCGTTGGCTCATGCATTCACTCACTCATTCAAAAACACCACTGGGGGGGGGGCAGCCGGGTGGGTCAGTTGGTTAGAGCGCGTGCTCTGAAAACATCAAGGTTGCCGGTTTGATTCCCACATGGGCCAGTGAGCTGTGCCCTCCGCAACTAGATTAAAGACAACAACTTGAGCTGAGCTGCCGCTGAGTGGCCAGATGGCTCAGCTGGTTACAGCGCGCGCTCTTAACAACAAGGTTGCCGGTTTGATTCCCGCATGGGATGGTGGGCTGCACCCCCTGCAACTAGACTGAAAATGGTGACTGGACTTGGAGCTGAGCTGCACCCTCCACAACTAGATTGAAACAATTTGACTTGGAGCTGATGGGTCCTGGAAAAACACACTGTTCCCCAATAAAAACAAACAAAAAAATAACGTATCAACTGCAAATCAAGGTGGTGAACAAGACTGACAAGGAACAGGGAGCTCACAGTCTGGTGGGGGACAGACAGACTGACATTTACAAACTCACACATGTGCTTTGATGGGAAAATCCAGGGGACTGGAGGCACAGCGGAGGGTCACCCAATCAGAAATTGTTGAGGGGGTCAGTGAAGGTTTGCCAAAGAGCGTTATGATTAAGTCTCAGAGGGTGAACAGCAGCTGCCCCAGGGCAGGTGGAGGGCGGCCGAGGCCAAGGCCCAGAGACCCCTGAGGTTCCGAAGGTGGGCAGGGCCAGGAAGTGCATGGCCTTCTGGGCTACATCCAGAATTTGGGCTTGTCCCGAGGGCAAAGGGGAGCCACAGAAGGGTCTTGAGGTGTCACATGCTTAGATTTGCATTTAAGCCACACTGGCCACTGTGGCAGGTGGACTGACTGGTGAGGCTGAGCTGGACGCAGGGGGACCAGTAAAAGGACCAGTGCGGGGGGGGATGGGATACTCCTCAATCAGGAGTACCTAAGCCAGGCCTCGGGCTGGGAATCCCCTGAAACCTGGGCCCTGGGCTCGGGCAAACCTCAGTATTGGCTTGGGGAGCACTGAGGCAGCAGCGAGCCGAGGCTAGAGGGCAAGACAGGGTAGCTGGTGAGTGTCAGTAAGCCTGGGGAAGGGGTCGCAGCCCGCAGACCTGGCCTAAGGAAATCAAGTCTTGTCCCTACTCCACTGCACAGTGCAACCAAGCAAGAAGAGACCCAGCATACTCCTACCCACCGCCACCCTGGAAAATAGCCCTGGGGATAGTCCCTAATTATGCCTCCCTTTCCCCAGAGGAGTGAGGACCCACATATTAAAGCAAGGTGCCTCACGGCTGCATTTGAGCATGCTGTGTGACTTGGGGCAGGCTACCCCCTCTGCAGAGCCTCTGACTCCTGAGTCTCTCTTGGCAGGGTCAGCCCAGATGGGAGTCCCCAGTGGCCAGAAATTGAAAGGCAAGACTTGTAACCAGGCATTAGCGGGTGTTCAACAGTGGTGGCTGGAAGACCAGTGCCCAGGGAGGCACAGCTCGGGGACGTGGGGTAACAGCAGACACTACAGGCAGCTGGGCCAGCAGAGGTGATTGTGTTTAAGTCAACAGACTGAGTCACACAAGTTCAAATCCAGGCATCATCACTTATCCATGATTGAGCCTGGGCAGGTGACTTAACTACTCTGAGCCCCAGTGGCCACATTTGCAGAATGGATACAATAATAATAGCCCCTCATGGGCTGGTCATGACGATTAAATGTACAGATACATGCAAAGAGGACAGCATAAGGCTTTGCCTGTTGCAGACGATTTAGCCAACAGCAACTGGTAGTCAACATGACAATTTGATGGAATTGACAATCTGAGTTTAAAAAGATAATAATTCAGCAAGTGTTTAGAGAACCCACATTGGGCCATCTTTGAACAAAGCATAAGAATCCTCATCCTCATGGAACACAGACAAGAAACAAGAAAATGGGCAAAATATGTGGAAAGTCTGATAGTGATAAATGCTATAGATCAAAATGGAGTGGAGAGGTCCATCTGCCAGGGCGGATGTATTTCTAAATCAGGGGGTCAGGAAAGGTCTCGTGCAGATGACATTTATGCAGAGACCTGAAGGAGAGGAGGAGGATAAGCCTGACTCATGCCATAAATTCACTTTTTTCTACTTTGGTAACTTTGACGCCACATGGGCTTGGGTGCTCTGCAGGTTTGAGACTGGGCTTCCCCCCTCCCCAGAGCTCTTATCTCACTCACTGGTCTCATGGGCTTGACTGCTGGGAGGTCCCTAGCCTCCAGCAGGGGAGGCCTCTGGCATTGAGTGTGAGAGCTTTGCTTAGCTGTCTTGGGAGGATGGACACGGACCACCCAGGGGGACCCTGGCTGTTGCCGGTTCATTCGTGTTGGGATTTCTTCTGCTGGAGCCAGCTACAATTTTCCAGTTTCCTAGTTCCAGCTCAGCAACCCCCCCCCCACATACTTTTCCAGGGATAGTAATGCAACGGGATGATTCCCCACTGCCCCCATCTCATAAGCCCTGTGTCCATCTCTCAATCAGCGTCCTCATTCTAAAATGGCTACTTGTCCAGAATCCCTAAACCCTGGAGGAATTCCATAGGACCTAGTAACATATCTTCAAATCCAGTGGTCCTTACTGAGAGCTTGGGGATTCCAGAGGACACTCCTGGAAACCTAAACGCTGTAGGCCTTTTCTAGAATGCTGGAATTTGGGGGCTGATCTCTGGCTCCAGGAAGTAGGGTAGTATTTCTCCACAACTATCAAACTTAAAATGAGGTCTCTGGTAACTCAGAACATTAGAACTGGGGGCAGATCTTGGAAATCTTGAAGCACGGTAGGAATTTCTCACAACGCCAAATCCCCCCCAAAAAATCTCTGAAAATTTAAAACACTGTATAGAAGTTGGGAGGGGGTTCTCTGGACTCTTTAGCTGGAGGTGAGAATGGTCACCAGAACTCATAGGTCCATCCACGAGTTTCTAGAATGCTGACAAGTCTAGAGAGCCACCCAGATGTTGGAACCCGAGATGTTGGATGTGAGTCCTCCAGACCCTTGGGGACCTTGACTCTCAGCCAATCCAGCCAAGGCAGGGGCTTCAGGAAGAGTACTCCTGCGAATAGTTGTGTTCAAAAGGCTATGAGGTCTCGTCTGGGCAACCAAGCCCCAGATAGACCCCAAGAGGTGAAGTCAATGTGAGAGTTTGTGAAGACCCTACTGCCAAGAACTTCTAGCTCCCATCTCTCTGTCTGCTTCAACCACACCGGACTTCGTTCGCGTCGCAGGTGTGCCCTGCTTTCTCTCACTCAGGGTCTCTCTTCCCTTTGTCTAATGACACATTTGCTCCAAATTCATTTGTATTCAATTTTATACACAACAGGTTGATTTTAACCACTTTGAAGGATATTTTGAGCCCTCTTAGATGACTTTTTCCATTTCTGTCTCTTTGTTGAGCTTCCAAAGACTTGTCTTTATTTTAAGCAAACAAATATGGCGAGGCAGGGTGGGGCAGGTAGGAAGTCTTGCTATGAAACAAGGAGCAGCGGCTACTGAAATTTGGAGATGGGTTGGTGCTGTGGTTGGAGACCAGGACTGCAGTCTGGAGACACCTGGGTTCTAAGCATGCTCTGCAACAGACCTACCGTCTGAGCCAGACCAGCCCCCGGGCCATCACTGACATCTACACTGGATGGCCATCAAGGAAGACCTTTGGAAGTTGGCCAGAGGTGTCTTCCTCAAGAGATTTCATTCAGCTCATGGCTATCATCACACTGTCTCTCATTCCATCATACTAAGTCCCTACTTGAAGGTCAGGCCTGTTCTACTGGGCATGAGGGACACTGGCCTGACCTTGAGCCACTGCCCTATTCTTATGGAGTGTCCAGCCAAGTGGGGGAAGAGGACAATAAAAGTGACACTTGCAATCAGCAGAATAAATAATAATTGGCAAATGTATGTGGTACCAAGCATTGTTTCCAGTATTGGTCCTGGATGAACTCATTCATTTCTCATAACAACTCTGTGAAGTGGGCACTATTATTCTCCTCATGCTGCAGTGCGGAAACCAAGGCAAGAAGAGGTTTGGGAATTTGCCCAAGGCCACACAGCTAGTAGGTGGCAGCAGTGGCATTCTCCCAGGGTGGACTGGCTCCTGAATAGACGCTCTCAACCACCATGCCACGAGCCACCCGTAGGACCACAGAGGGAGGGCAAATAGAGGAACAGCTCCTATCCAACTCAGGAACCGCTGAGCACATGGGGCAGCCTCCCTGGGTAAGTTGGTCTCCATCAAAGCCCAGCACCACCCAGCAAGAGCAGACCATGCAGAGGTCTTTGGAGGAAAGGACTTCCCAAGCTCTTTTTCTTCCATGGAGGAACCCTCACCACCCGCAAAGATAAAGGAATTCTTTACTAGTCAATGAAGCAAGATTCTGGGCAACCTGAGTTGGAACCAAGAGAATTAGAAAAGGGCCCCTGCAGTCCAGGGTTTGTGTGGTGGGCAGGGCCCTGTGTGGAGATCCGGTGGTCTCCAGACCACAGGACCTTGGGCACACCCACTCCCACTCTCAGCCTCAGTCTGCCCAACATATAGCTGTGGAAGCCTGGGCAAGGGAGTTAAGGTCTCTGAACCTTAGTTTCTTCCTCCGTAAAGTGGGGGTATGATTGTTTTACCCTTTGCGAAGTTAATAAGCACTCATAGAGGATGATGTGAGGATCACAAGCGTGGACCCCTATCAACTGTTGAGGACAGAGCCTGGCACATGGCCAGTGCTAAATAAGTGCTAGTTATTACTATTCTTATTACTAATGGAAACTCTCAGCACAAACATGTTGCCACTCTTGTACTCTCAGGGGAGGAATTGCATCAATATGCAGACTCTGGTTATAAAGACTCACGCACTTGTGGACATCCAGCTCTGCAGCTCCTCCTTAACCAGGATTTTTCCACAGAGAGATGTGTCCACTGAGGTCTCTCATCCAACAGACGAGCCAACACAGCTGACTGAGAGACAGTCATTCAGCTCCATTGAAGAAAGGCCAGTGGGACTTTCTGAAGAGTCCAGCTTGCCTCATGGTTTCAGAAAAGAGCTATTGTAGTCCCTTCCAAGGACACTGGGTGATGTCAACTCAGTCAGCAAGGCGTCCGGCAGGCCCCTGGGGTCCTGCTGTAGATAAGACTAGCCTGAGAAGAGCAGGAAATGTTCGTGTCCTTTTCCTGGAACACGTCAGGCCTTTGGAAGTTTGTTCCTTTGGAATCCCTTTCTTCAGGGCTGCAAAGAGAACCAGACCCTGGGCCACAAGCCCTGTCCACCGGGCAGCCAGATCTCAAGGACACTGAGCTCCAAAAAGTCTCATCTTCTGCTTCTCCAGGCTAAGCCACGGGCTCCCACAATCAGGAAACTAAATTGACAACACCCAAGGGCACCTTCCACCCAGTGCACTTCCAGCTTAGGGCTAGCACTTACTATTTGCTAAGCTCTCTGCAAAGAGCAAGAGCATTCTTCTATGCCCCTAAGCTATGACCTCTAATTAAGCGTCCAGCTCTATAGCCCGGGTGGGGATAGGCAAGGTAGAAACTGGATCTTTTACACTCACCAGGGGATTTTAAACAGACTCTGGTAAGAAAGGCTGATTCTAGCCCTGGTCCGACCTGGTCTATAGGCCTTCGCCCTAGCCTCTGGCTCCTGGTCTGTAGGATGCTAGCTATGAGCAAACCCACGGTCTTTAGAAGTCTTCTGCTGCCCTCTAGTGGACATGGGTTGCTCACGCCTTTTTGCAGCCCGTATGGAGCCTTTGCCTGGTACTGCTCTTATAGTACCTGCTATGTATGCTAAGTGCCTGGGATGACATCGGTCTGTCCCGTATGCACACTTGCGGGAGCACTTTCACAAAAGTCCCTCATTCAGTTCTAATTTCAGCCCTGTCAAATGAGTTATTATTACCTTCATTTAGAGGTCTAGATGAGGAAGGTGAGGCCAGGGAAGGAAGGACTGCTTCATGGTCACCCAGCAAGTCACAAGGACTGGGACCCAAGTCTCTGGGACAAGGGTGAGGAATGAGTAAAAGCCTAGAAGTTGCCGGGCAGTGAGGACATCCCCTCTTATCACTGGTCATGGAGTCCTGAGCGCCGCTCACCTCCAGCTTTGCTATGAACACATAAGCTTTGGCTCCAAGTTCAAGGGAGCTGGGAAGGGTCAGGCATTTGGGGTGAGGCCTGCAGCAGGATTCCTCCTCGTCGGGAAGGAAAGTCACCCTGCCATCCCCTTCCGCCATTAGCAGAGGAAGCCCTGAACCTTGGCCCCACCCTTTGGTCTGAGTTCGGCCCAATGTCCTCGATGTCTCTGCTGGTCCAGGCACCAGGTCCCAGTGCCCCAGGTCCTTCCTTCTTCCTGGGAAACGTGCGATGGAGTTGTTTTCCTGGGCCTCCCACTTCCACTGCCTCCTCACTGATCTCCCCTCATTACGAATCTGACTGGCCACTCACTTCTGAAAACTCGCCAGTGTTTCCTGTACCCTCCAGACAACGAGCAAGCCCTTAGGCCTGGCATCATAGTCTAACCTTCTGAGCCCCGGCCACGGCTCCAGCCTCATCTTCCCCCCACCCCCCAGACCTGTGGTTTTTTGCATTCCGAATGCATTTTGCTCTCTCCACCTTCCTCCTCTAAGCCTTTGCAGGTGCTGTGCCCTCTCTCTGGAATATCCGCTTTCCACACACACCCCGTGTACTTCTGTCTAGCTAACTCCCACTCATCAAGTTAGACTCCCCTCCTCTGGCCCCAGCTTTCCCCATCGCTGCGCTGACCATCCTGCCTTATCATATTCTCCTCACTGCTCCCCATCCCACCCTGGCCAGGGGTGAGCTCTGGGAGGCCTGTCGTATTCTCCATCCTATCCCCACCGCCAAGCACAGAGTGCGTATTTGGTGAATGAATGAGTGAATGAATGAATAAGTGATGGGAGAAGGCCTGGGCGCCTGCTTGGCCACAAACTGGGTGACCTTGAACAAGTCCCATTCCCTCCCTGAGCCTGTGTTTTCATCTAAAAATGAGGCCTCTATTCCCTACTGGTCTGGGCACCTCTGAGGCTGTGAGGCCTCCTACATGGGGCAGGCCCTCCCCTTCCCTCTGAAATGGTTCTGGAACCTGGCCAGTTCCTGTGAACTCTTGAACCCATGGGTCCCCCTGGGAGTGCAGGGGCCCCAGAACCTCCACACTGCCACCCCAATAGCTAGAGAGGGAAGAGGGGTTAGCACCTCCTTACCACTGCTGGCTGTGCATCCTGGTGGCCCAGGGTTAATTTTTAAAAAGCAGCTCAAAGTCCAGTGGGTCTTGGCAGAGTTTGCTCCCTCGCTGGTTAATAATCTCGAGAGAACAAACATCCCTAGAGGCAGGAGAAGAGATCAACACCCTGAGCCCAGATTCTGGCCTGTCCCCTCCCCCAGGAGAGGCTGTGTGGCTGAAGGAACAGCCCTGTCCAAAGAGGCCCAGGTTCTCCTGCGCTCCGTGTGCCTCGGGCTTCCCCTTAGCTAGAGGGGTTGACAACCCTAATAACGCAGACGGGCTGTGAAGGCCAGAGGAGCCGTCATGGTACGCTGTAGGCAACCTTAGAAAAGCGGCTCTATTCCTATTAATGACTCATTGTTAGTTTTTCATTCGTATACCAGGCCTGGTTTCTCCAAAGACATACACCTTGAACCCGTCACACAGGTAAGGCAGTGGACGGCTTATGGAGCAGTGTCACACGCATTGCCTCACTTAACCTCTTGGCAGACAGGACAGGGACTGTTATCCTCGGTTTACAGATGAGGAAAGTGGGCCTCAGAAAGGGAAAGACATGGCTAATGTCACACAGGACAAGAAGTCAGAACTGCCAGCCCCCATTTCTTTGCACCCCTCTTAATGCAGACTGCCTCCTTACGACCACCACTGACCAAACCATAAAAGAGTGCGAAACTCTGTAAACAAGAGGGATGGTACTTGTCCCCAAAATCTAAGCCAATACGGTTGCTGTGATTAAACTTGTAACACGGTTTTGAGCTTCCTGGAAGCCAAAGCAAAAAGGCGATGCCATCAGCAGCCAAGCTATCAGTGTTGGAGCAAAGGAAATACACTCACTTATGATGAATAGAGACACACTTGTTCCTGATATTGGTGAAAGAGAAAGGTATGGTGTGGCTTTCACAGAAAGGAGGTGGTACACCATTTGTTGGTGTCACTGACTGAGGGAGCTCCTGGATTCTCATATGAGCACAGATCTTGCTTTTGGAAGCTCCTGTCTGAAGGGGGTCATTCAGATGTAGCAGGGAGGCTGCTGTGTGTATGGGACGCCCCATGCGAAGAGCAGGGCGGAAGTAAGCACAGCATCTCTGACCGCCGGAGAAGGGCGCCTCGTAGAGAGGGCCTGTGGTCTTGCTGGCAAGAGTGTGAGCTCTGCAGATAAACAGACGTGGGTTTTAAAAATTCCCTTTAAAATTTGTAGTTTAATGAATGCCGTATGGTTTCTTAAAAAGTATCATTAAAAAACAAAACAAAACAACACCCCTGTCCGCCCCTCCCCAAACTGGGTGGCTTAAAACAACATAAATGTATTCTCGCACGGTTCTGGAGGTTAGGAGTCTGACACCAAGTTGTCATTAGGGCCACACTCCTCCTGCAGGCTCTGAGTAAGAATCCTTCCTTGCCTCTTCCTCGCTTTTGGCATTCTGTGACTTGCAGCTGCCTCACTCCATTCCCAGCCTCGGTCTTCGCATGGTCATCTTCCCTGTGCGTCTGTGCACCTCGGTCGTCTTCCCTCTATGTCTGTGTCTCTGCCTGAACCTTGCCCCCCATTTCCCTTATGAAGACATTAGTCATTGGAATTTGGGGCAACCTCATCCAGTATGACCTCACCTCAATCCATTACATCTGCAAATAGGGTCACGTTCTAAGGTTCTGGGTGCACATGAATCTGGGGGGACGCCATGTAACCTGCTGCAAGCATATTCAGTCAGCTCTTCCTACGTGCTAGATGCTGTCCACATGCTTTATAAGTGTTAACTCCTTTAGTCTTCACAATAATACTATGAACTAGGAACTATTATTATCTCCATTTACTGTTGAGGAAACCAAGAAACAGAGAAGTCACTCACCCAAGGCCGCACAGTGGGTGACTGGCACAGAAGGCAGTCTGGCTCCCGAGTCCATGCTCTCATCCACACCAAATGCTGCCTCCCCCGGCAATGCCACTTCCCAGATGCGAGACCCTGGGCAAGTCATTTACCTCTTGACTCAAATTCCCTGTCTGTAAGGGGGGAAATAGCACCTACCTCATGGGGTGGTTGTGGGGATTGAGTTCAGCTCTATGGTTCAGTGTAAAGTGCTGGAGCAGAGCTGGCGCATAGCAGGCACTCAGTGAACAGAAGCTGTTATTAGAATCATCATGGTTATTTCTACTATTATTTGCCAGGGCTGTGGGAAGCTGGGGTGAGAGAAGGAAGCCTGGGGCAGACGCCTGAACTCTAGTCTTGGCTTTGGCATAGACTTCCCTGTGGCCTCTAGTAAGGCATTTCCTCTCCCTGGGCTTCAGTTTTCTCATATGAGAAATGGCCCCATCAGGCTCGTCCTGCTGTCTCACAGGAGTGTGAGGTCCAGGTGGAATGACACAGCAGGAAAGGCCAGGGCTACCCATGTCTCCTGTCCTCACATGCCACCCTGTGTCGGGCGAGTAGTTTCTGAGGAAGCCTTCTGGGGGTGAACTCAGCCCAGGCTGCATCTGGGTCTTGTTGTGTTTGGCCAATGCCTTCTCTGCAGCAGACACCCTGGCCCCTTCGGACCACTGACCCCAGCCAGGGCACTACCAGGGATCGATTAGACCTGGCCTTGGGGCCCTGATTGGTCCTGGCTAAGCAGGGCAAACACCAAGGTCCCCTACAAACTGCAGGCCCTTTCCCCAGCCTCAGTTTGCAGCTGCCTCGGGCAGGGAGTTCCTCTGTCCCCAGACTGAGCCCGTGAGTGACCCCCTAGGTTCAGAGCCAGAGCCATGCAGAGTCTCGGGGCCCTGCTTCTGCTGCTGACCGCCTGCCTGGCGGTGAGTGCCAACCCTGTGCCGACAGTGCCAGGCAACATCCAAGTGCAGGAAAACTTCGACATCTCTAGGGTAAGACTGGCTTCTCTGGGGGGTGATTGCGGGTGTCTGAAAAGCTGGGCTTTGCCGGGGGGCAAGTCCTGGCCGCCTCGGGGTCTCTGTCTCCCCATCTGGAACTCTAGCGGTGCGTCCCTAAAGGCCCTTCCTGCTCAGACCATCTGGGTTTTGTTGAAGCAACAACTCTACGCATCCGCCATTCTTTGGGACTCTTGTCTGATTCGGAGTCAAATGTCCACACATTCAAACCTGTCCTCTCAGGCTCCAAGGGGAATCCACATGCTTTGATTAGAACACACCCCTAGAAGGCTTTGTCCTG